TTTTTTATAATGGATGTACTAATTCACATTTCCACCAGTAATGTATAGAAGATAGGAGTTCCCTTTCTTTGCATCCACACCAGTTTTTGTTATGCTTTGTCTCTGATTAGACCCACTCTCTAACTGTTGTGAGGTGGTACTGTGGCTGTGACGTGCATTTCCATGACAACTGGTGATATTGTCCATTGTTTCTCATACTTGTTGGCCATTTGTGTTTCTTTTTTTTTTTTGAGAATTGTCTTTTCAGGTCCTTGGCACATTTTTAAATCTGATTATGTGTGTGTGTGTGTGTGTGTTTTCTTCTTTTTCTGTAGAGTTGTTTGAGTTCTTTATGTATTCCGAATATTAATCCTCAGTCAGATAAGCAGTAATTCCTTTTTTTGGTGTTTTAATCTCTATCTCTTGCAGTTTCTTTTTTGCTTGTCTATTTCAAAGTTCGTTTTTCACTTGCCTTGAATTCAGTCCTATATTTTCCTAGTTATCTAATTGATTTAGGTTTTTATGTCACTGTCATGCAACTGCCCATAACAACATTCCTTTAAGAGTAAACAAAGCTCTTTGTGTTTGGTTCACATCCTTTTTTCATTCTTAAGGTTGATTACCAGCACTTTTAATTACTCGTAATGATCTTTCAAAGGTGCCATTTCTAGTTTAACAAACTCTGAGCTACATGTGTTGCCTTGTAGTATCTTAACTTTTGCTCCTATAACTATTAAACTCTTCTTGCTTTCTTCTGATTTACTTGTTTATTTCAAAGTGAAAGTTATTTTGAAGTCTGTATTTTATTTTATTTTTTTGAGATGCTTAAAGCATCTCCTCCTTAATTATTGGAGTCCAGGAACATTCCCTCACATGTACAGACAAGAATCTCTTTCAGTGTAAGGACAACCTTTTTGTCCGCTGGGTCATTTGTCTTCTTTTATTCCTTTAATAATTGCTTCCTGTGTATTTACCTCATTCTTTTCTTACAGTACCATATTACATGAAAAATGACTTTCCTACATCTATCAACTGCATCTCATCTTTCCTTAGAGTTTCCTTCTTCTTGTTATACTCTGGGAGTTTGCATTGGTTTTCTAAATGACAATGTTTTTCCTCCTTAGTGTGCATTCTGGTATGCACTGAGAGATAATTTGTTGACTTTTCAAGAATTTTCCCATTATTCCCTTTCTTCCCTCCTTTGGAGACCTGTCAGCTATTATTTTAATCAATTCAATATCTGCTTAGATATTTTAACTTAAAATGTCTCCCATTTTATTATTTTCTATTTTCTTTCTCTTATCTTTTGAGCTGCTATTTCTCTTTATGTGTTTCTTGAATATTGTGTTACTGTTGTTAGTTATATTTATAAGGATCTGAAAAGATCAATTTCAGTGATAATTTAGACATTTTCTGCTGCATAGAAGGCATTTTATTTTTTCTCTTGGCAAGAGGAATCTCCAAATGTGGGACTGACTATAGAAGCCAGAGGAGACCGCACACATCTCTCCCTTACAGACTGCCCATGGCAAATGAGGACTGGGGAAAAATCATTCCATTTGTCCTGTCTTGGTTTAGGAGGCTGGTACAGTGCCCTGTGTTTAAAGTACAGTACTTGATGACTTCTCCATTAACAACGGATCTGTCTTTAGCTTCTGATTATAAGACTTAGGTGGCTATATTTTGCTTAAGCTCTAATCAGTGGGACGCAGGACAGGGGTTAATTAGAAGGAGACATGTGGGGATTTCCTTTTTTATCCCCGTGGTAGCTCTGAGTTAGCTGGGCTATTTCTTCTACTTCTTGCATTTTTTTTTCTTAACAAAGTGATGGTAATAAGTTCTTTATTTTCAGTACTTTATTTAAGTATAAATGGATTATTATTAAAAACTAATCAGAACACAAAACATGACTAACAGGGTTTAATCTAAAAATTTCTGTTTGCTATCTACATGAGACCTCATTTAGATCTAAGGTCACTTTTAGTAAGAGTGAAAGGATGAAAAGGGTATTATATGAGAATATAAAAGAGAAATCAAAGATGGCAATATTTATGTTACACAAAACAATTAAGAAAATGTTATGGGAGATAAAATGCTTAAGTGAAAACTTATTTTCAAGAGACAAACTAATATATAAAGATAAAAAAGAGACCACTCTCTGTAATACTACAACAATAAATACATGTGTAACTCACATTATTCTTCCCAAATATGGAAAGACAATATTGAAGGAATTGATTGAAATAAAAAGCAAAACAATAATATTTGGAGACACCTCCCTGATGGAATGTATTAGAAAATAAAATCAAGTGGAATGGTAATCAGGAACTAGAAAAGTTAAAACTCTCATAAACCAATCAAATTGAGAGACTCAATCATCTCAATAACTCACAAAATATTCTGAGTAGACCAGCTTAAAAGCGCAAAAAATATTGAGGAATTATGTACTATTGAAATTACTTTCTAAACATAATAAATTAGAAATCTAAAGAGGAAGTGATATTCAAAACTTCATAAATTTGTGGCAATCGTGCACTCTTAAACATGATCTTATTCAAGAAAAGGAAGATAAAATTAGAAGCTGTGTATACTACCCAAATGATCTAGAGACTCCATGTAATAGCTATCAAAGTCCCAATATTAGTTTTTCAGAAAAAATTCTGTGGAATCACAAGTGTTTATGAGTCATTAAAAATATTCAAAATAGAACAAATTTGGAATAATGCTGCTTTTAAAACATAATAAAAGCTCCAGTATTCAATAGGTTAATACTAACATGAACTTCAACAAGTAGACATAGAAAAGAACAGACAGTAAATTCTTATTTATAAAAGTGAATCAAAGCCTATTTACAAACCTATAATTATTAAATCATTCAGTAGAGCCAATAGGGGAAAGCAAACTAAATGCCCTTTCAAATGTATGGATGAAGGCAATTTGGAAGAAACCATGGAATGTTTTTCAATTTTACAAAGATGAGAGATTTTATAGCATCTACACTAAGGATCAATCTTGAGGACATTATGTTTGCTCAAATAACCATCCTTAAAAAAGCTAAATTCAGCGTGATTCTATTTAAAGGAGACTTCTAAAGTAATCAAACCCATTGAACAGAAGGAATGGTGTTTGTGAAGAGAGAGAGACAGAAATGAGCACCTGTTTTTCATGAAAATTTCCCCTTAATTTTGTGAGATGTAAACTTTCTAAAAAGATGTTGTGAAAAAATGTGTATGAACACTACTAAGCAACATATTTAAAATATTTAAAACACTAGTTTAACTTTATGTGGTCTTGATTGTGTTTAATTTTTAAAACAATACACAAAAGATAAACAGAATTATAAAAATCTTTTGAATCTTCCTTAAAATGCTGAAGTCTTTAACCTAGACAAAAGAACAGTTTTATCAATAAATAGATGATAAGTATGCCAGTAATTCTGGCTGCCTGAAGGCTGAAGAAGGAGAAGTGCAAACAAGGAGCCTGAAGCTATTTTGAACAACTTAGCAAGAGCTCAGAAAGGCCAGGTTTCTGTAGTTCTCTAACGTCACATCTGTATATAAATTCTGCTGATCAGGGTGCAGGCATTCCCATTCCCATTGCCACAACCCTGAATGTCAGTGATTCCCTTTCCTGGATTTCATGCTGCCAAAGCTCTCCCTGGGTAGCAAGGAGACCTGAGGCTCCCGAGCACAGGAAAAGCAGTCCAGACATGGATCCCAAGAATGGTGGACTTCAGAGACAAAGGCCACGCCATATTACCTATTTTTTTCAAATGAATTATTTCTGTATTATTTTATATTTTGGTTCTTTACCCTGAATTCACATTAAACATGCAATATGTTTTGGATGAATTTTAATTGCTATGGAATTAAGTTGCAAGAGATTTGCAACACATTGTACTTCCTTTACAGCTATATCTCCACCAGGCCTCTATGTGCATATGGCGAACACTGAGGTAGAGAGAAAAAGGAAAATAGACATGGGAAATTTGTGTGAATGAAATTAATTTATTTTTTTTTAAAATAGATACTAATTTCAGGGCAGTTTCAGATTTATAGAAAAAATGGCAAGAATGTTTCCTCCAGTTATTAATATCTTATATTTATGTGGTACATTTGTCACTATGAACCAATCAATATTGATCTGTTACTGTTACCTAATGTCCATATTTTATTTGGATTGCCTTCGTTTTCACATAATACCCTTATTTTTGTTAAAGGGTCTCACCTAGGACACCAGTATACATTTTCATCATGTCTCTTAAGTTCCTCTTGAGTTGCATCAGTTTTCTCACACTTTGCTTGGGTTTGACAGATTTAATAGTTTTAAGGAATACTACTTAGATAATTTTAGAATATCACTGTATTTGGATCTGTCTATTTTTTTCTCCTGATTTGAGTGGAACTCTGGGTTTTTAGGAGGAAGAACACAGAGGTGAAGTATTTGCCTCACATGGCATTAAAGTGCCTACTGACAACATGGCCTTTGTCAGGTTTCTTCACTGTGAATCTTTCTTTTCTCTATTTCCCTCTTTTTGAAGTGTGTTCACTTGGAGGACACCATGTGGCCCAACCCACACTGAAGAAGCAAGGAGTTTCGCCTCTGTTCTTGAGGGCAGAGCATTTACAGAGCCATGTGGCGTCTTTTCTGTGTGACAGGTTTGTCTCGCCTCCCTATTTATTTATTCATTTAATATTTTATGATTTTTAGTAAAATATCATGCATGCTTATTTTATACTTTGAGTTATAATTGAATGTTAGGTCATTTTGTTCTTAGATTGTTCTTGTTTTGGTAATTAGGAGCTCTTTTAGTTAATTTCTGTGTCCCTGGGACATACTCTCATACCTCACCAATATGGTATTTTGTTTTATGTTCTTCCTTCCTTTCTTTCCCTCCTCCCCTCCTCCTCCTCCTCCTCCTCCTCCTCCTCCTCCTCCTCCTCCTCCTCCTCCCCCCCTTCCTTCTCCTCCTCTTCTTTCTTCTCCCCCGCCCTCCACACTCTCCCTCTCTTCTCCTCCTGACTTCCTGGCACTTACAACATTCTCCAGGCTCATTTTATATGTTTTCTGACCCAGTCTCAGAATCAGTCCTTTCTCTCTGGATATGTTTCCTGTTTTTAGAGAACAGAATTAGAAACCAAGATCTAGGTGTGAGGTACACTCTTTGCTATTAGGTTATTTTTTTCACAGTCTCTCACACATGACAGGCAAAAAGATCCATATAAGAAGGAAATAGTCCAGTTCTGGGATTGTGAGCCTTTGTGTTCTGCTTCTTATGCAAAGCTGACTGCCACCAAACTAACACTTAGTGTCAAAGGTGGCCTTCCTTTATAAATCACATGTATACCTCATCTATTTTATTTCAGTTCAGATCTGCCCCAAGGATAGCAACAACGCAGACTGGAAATCACCCTTCCTCAGGAGAGCTAATGTGAGTACATGGGAACTTTCCACACAAGTTCACTCGTTAATTCTTGCTCAGTATGATCTGTCTTTATATAAGCCTTTGAGCTTCAACCTCACAGCTGCAAATGCTGGCTTCTTTGATTCTTGAATATTCTTCTTAATATTATTCTTCTTGCTCTTTTTCGTTCGTACCTTCTGTAGCTCAGGTCGATCCTGTGTCTTATTACCAAGTTCTTTGCTTCGCTTTTCCTCTGAACACCCACTGGCTTCTTGAGATCTTGCTCCCTTCTGCCATTGTGGCTGTGTCTTCCTGCAGAGCTGCAGAAGGTGCGGGTCAGCATTACATGCCCAAGCTCAGTAATATGAAGGGCTCTGGCTAAAGTTAGCACATCGTGTAGTGGGTATGCCTTTGCAACAGGGACATTAACTTTATTCCAGATTAGAATGAACCCCTCCCTGGAGAGCTCATCTAAAGGGAAAGCTCTGACAAATAGCTGAGAGTTTCTTTGAGCTTTTTATATCTCTACTTTAACCATATTCATGAAAAATTGAAATATGAATTTATAAATCAGGGCCTTGGGTCAGAAGAACAGTTTTCCATTTTGGTGTGTTTGAAACAGGGATAGAACATCAGAATAATCTTTCACTTGTTTGTATTTACATACTTTTAATCTGCTGCTTTTGAAATCTCTGAACATTCCTAAGCATTGAATTCTAGTTTCACATAAAAAATAGGGGTGAGCTACGCCCCCACCCTCCCTTTGAACACATCATCTTCGGGCAATGTGTTGCTTTCTACATGAAAGATCTTTCTAAAATGCAAATACGACCACCAACATTCCTACAGGAGAACATTCCCATCGCCTCTGGGATCCAGTCCTGCACATTTCTTCAGGGGTGTCTTGTGTTGCATATCTGTGTGTAATTTTCCCTGACTATGTGCTCCTCCTTGCAATGAACCACATCTCTTCTCATCTGTATCTGTGCCATGCCACTGTACTGCTCTGTGTTGAAGAGTGCATTTAGTTCCAACAGATTAACTTCTGGTCCTGATCATACCATGTACCAAGTGCATGACATGGAGCAATACCAGTGAAGTCCATGAGCCTTATTCTTTTGCCAACTGCAAAATGGGGGACAATAATATTGAACCCTGTGCTGTTATTAAATTTCAATGAGATCACATACGTTGAACATTCATCACTTATCTTGATATGTATAGGTGGTTTATAAATGCTCTTTTTAAAAAATTTGGTTAACTTAATATTAAGAGATATTCTTCCCTCTTCCCAAAAACAATGATCCAAAGTTGGCCTCTTCTGCCAGGCAACTTTGTAATAATTATTAGTTTTGCCTGGAGGGGCCGTGTTACTTATCTTAAAATCCCCAGGGAATGTCTCTGTCTCTGACTATTCTTGCCATTGGAATATTTATTCTCATAGAGAATATTAATTATTTTTGTCAGCTTGCTTGACTTAATAAAATCATTATTATTATTTTTACTTAAGATCATTTTCAAGTCTAAGTCTGAGGAGAAATCAAACATCCTCATCTCGACTCTCTGGTCCCCAAGGATGTGGTTAGTGACACTTCCATTTCCTAGGTCAGAACAAATGTGAGGCTTCCTGCTTCATCATTTGCATAATTCGATGGATCCATTTCTGGCAGATTTTTTTTTCTCAGATTTAAATTCTTACTGCATTGCGATATTCTTCTTCTGTTTTATACAAATGCAACTTGTATATTTGGAGCAAGAGCAATTCCTTAGTTTCTGATCATCCTTTTCTTCCTGGAATCTCATTCTCAAGCTCTACTTCCTTCCAATACACCATGGTCCACCAAAGTCTTTAGCGTCACAGGAAATTGTGGGTCTGGCCTCTGTTCCATTGCACCTATGAGACACAAACCATCGCATGCATGTCAAAAGGACATAAACCACAGTTGACTGAACCACGGTGACTCTCAAACCACCTTAGTGACTGTCCTGGGGAAAAATACAAAGGTGTGTGTGTATGTGCTTGTGTGTGTGTGTGTTTTCTGGGTTAGCTATTGATTAATGATCGCATAGTCATCATGTAAGGAGTACGCATCATATTCTATTAAGCACAGTAATACAAGGCCTGAAACTCCCTCTGGCTTGATATTAAATACTCAGGCTCCCACCCTACATGAGGGATGAATTAGTTGTGCAACCTCCATTATATCATTTGGTCTCTCTTGGTTGGTCTCACCCGCTCTCAGACTTACTATGTGTTTCTGAGAATCCTCTGAGTTCCTCTCAGAGGATCTACAAGCAAAGTTAAAAACTATATTTACACTAACACTAACATTATTCGCCATTTTTACTCTCAGTCCCTCATTCCTATACAGTGGAGTTCCCCATTAGATTACATTGAGACTCTCTGCAAAATATTGAATACAAAAGCAGACATGAGGATATGTCAGTTTTCGAAGTCAAGCATTAAAGAAATGAAAGACAATGAAAGTCTTCTCAGTAAATATTTGTTGGTAAAACTAATTTTCATAAAATATGTTCACATGGGTTTATCGTTATTTTAAATGACAATAACTATTTTTACATTTTTGTGATGCTCTGCTTATTTATGTACATAGCCTATGTAAAGAAATGTCTTAGAGATCTTCAGTAAGTTTTTAGTGTAAAGGGACTCTCAGCTTTTATATATGTACTTATATCTCGATTTCGTGTGAAGATCATATAATAGAAAGCACTTTGTGAACTTCAGTACACATTATAGTAATAGATGATATTATTCTTATTAGTATTAACTGTGGAAGGGTCAAAGATTTTGACTCCCAGTGGAAATAATTTAAATGAAGCCCATGGTTTCCTTCTCTCTCCTATGATCCTTCAGCTGAGTGGCAGTGGGGAAGTGATGTTCAGCTATCAGAGCTGAGTGTATGTCATCGGTTTTCATTGTTTCTTGTAGCTTGAAAGGGGCCTGTTCCATCAAGCTTCTGTAGGCTGAATGTACTTTTTTGATATATTTGATAGTCATTTAAACTTTAAATCTAGTTTGTTTCCAGTCAAAACTGTATTTTGGGGCTGGGGATGTGGCTCAAGCGGTAGCGCGCTCGCCTGGCATGCGTGCGGCCTGGGTTCGATCCTCAGCACCACATACAAACAAAGATGTTGTGTCCCCCAAAAACTAAAAAATAAATATTAAAAAATCTCTCTCTCTGTCTCTCTCTCTCTTTAAAAAAAAAACAAAAAAAAACAAAAAACAACCAACCAATCAGCAAAAGGCAGCGTGAGTGGTTCCATCTAGCATGAATTCTGGCAGTAGGCCAAATACCCCATGGTCTTCTTCCCCTAGAACTGCAGTCTTCAGCATGTCAGGGGCTCTCTCACGCTGGTCACCAGAAGGCAGCTGCAAATTTAAATGTGAATGAAGCCTTTACACAGTAGGTTCTAAGGTAGGAACTGCGTCTTTCACTCAGGTAACTATCTCTTTTGTCCTGAAGGAAAATAATTTCTAGAAGTCACCTTGTAGACTTGTTATTTTCCTAGACATGAGCAATCTCCTGTCCCTGCCTCTAGTGATTCATATTGGGAGGTGGGATCTGGGTTCAGTCCTAGCTAAATGAAAATGTGGTTCTGGAAGCAGTAAGGAGGAGAGGATTAGATGATAGGTACACATCTATACTCCCTACCTGCCACTCTAGTTCCAGAAGAGACATGCAGCCACCTCACCCAACCAACAGCCTACTCCCCTTGTTCTAATGGATTTTGATTCTGATTCCCACATCCTGGCTTTCCTGCCCAGGGGCTGGAACGTTTCCAAGTTTCCTGGTTAGAGTTAGCACCTGCACTTTTGGCTCCCTCCAGCTCACTGGCATGCATGCGCCCAGCACTGGATTGGTCTCTCTCCAGATTCTACCTTTTGCCATCAATTCCTCTGCTGCTGGCCCCCTTTCCATCCTTGAAGGCCTCCTGCATTGACTTCCTGAATCCTTCCTCCATCATATAGAGTGGTTGCATGCATTTTAGCCTGGGTTGTTGAATAGATTCACTAAGCATCCATGAGACTTCCTGCAGGGTTTGGTTGAGATTATTCATTCCAATCATGATTCTCATCTGTCCTCTTTTGAATAATTGATTCTGGGAAAAAACAAGACTTTACAACTGCAGAGTCTTTTCTGCATCCAGTTGTGGAAAGTGCTTCTCACAGAGCGGAGCTTGTAGCCTCAGCACACTTGGGAGTGGTTGAGGAAGGTACACTCAAGGCTGTACTAGAAACCCTACAAGGGCCCCCTGCTGATTCTGATATGCTTTCAAATTTGAAAACCACAAAAACACAGAAGTCAGAGATCTGAAATTAAGCAGAGTGATTTTGGTTCAAGTAACAGAACTTCCTGTGCATCTCTTATAGTTGAAAAAATAATAGTTAATGAAGATAAATAAGCTCCCTGATGAAGATTAAACATATTTGTGAAGCACTGAGCTTAATTTTTGTTACTTATTAGGAATATCAGGGGAGGGGAGGGGGGATAGTAGAGGATAGGAAAGGCAGCAGAATACAACAGACACTAGTATGGCAATATGTAAATCAATGGATGTGTAACTGATGTGATTCTGCAATCTGTATACGGGGTAAAAATGGGAGTTCATAACCCACTTGAATCAAAGTGTGAAATATGATATATCAAGAACTATGTAATGTTTTGAACAACCAACAATAAAAATTAAAAAAAGGAATATCATTTTATCCTCATGTTTTCTTCTCCTCATCTTTCTGAAGGTTATTTATAATATTTTGAAAATCCTAGCTTCTCATAATGTACTTACTCATCAGAAAGGGTTTTATGACAGGGGTCTCCTTGGGAGGGATCAATCTGTGTGAAGTATGGAAGCTCCCCTGTACTTTCCTAGCATTTCAGCTTGCTCCTCACCCCCTGCATTTCTACTAGCTGACACCCAACTGTTTTGTCTGCAAGGTGCCCTGTCTACAATGCCCTCTCTCCTTTTCTGCTTCTCCCTCATCTCTTGGTGGGGATTCATGCGGCTGGTATTCCATTTCCTTAAAACTTACTTTTCTTCAGGGTGAAAACGATGGCTGCATTTGCCAAGTTTCACGGCTGCGGGATTGCAGTTGAGAAATATCACCGTCTGTTCATCTCCTGCCTGAGAAATGCTCTCCACTTGGTACTGATGGTGGCTGCAAATGGTCTCAGTTAGCAGGACTGTGTGGCTTCATTTTTGGTGCACAATGTCACAACACAAAACGGGCATCGTTTCTGGTGCCGCACACATGTTTCTAGTTCCCACTTCGGATTCTCTTGAGTAGGATGTTGGCTCTGCACAGTCTGGATAACAAGCAATTCTATTTCCAAATGCTTCTAGAAGGAAAGAATGGCTAATTTTTTTTTTCCTGAAAAAGCTAACTCTAGGATCTGTATCAGAATAAAAGCCAACCTTTTCTACTATAAGTAAACACTGTGCTTTTAATATTTAATATATTATATATATTTATATATTTTTTAATACATTGTCTTCATTATCTACAGAAGTCCTTCAAAATAGATATCATTGCACCATTTTACAGATGAGGATAGTACAATTATAGAATATAGCTGGTTTCTGCAAAGTAACACAAGTACTAAATAGAGACTTTTATTACTATCAGGTGTCTCTTATTCCAATTTCTCTGTGCCATGTGAATAGGAAAGCTGTGAGTGCTCACACACTAAAGATTTTCATTGCAATGCAATTGATGTAAGACCACCTCTGTATGTGTGTGTGTGTGTGTGTGTGTGTGTGTGAATATATTTTAGACACTGACCTTGTTCCCAACTAAGTGATTATGAATAGTCTTTGGAGCGTTAGTATTCTACTTAAATGCCCCCACTACATATACAGAATTATTATGTGTCTAGTTAGAAAGGAAAGGGGAATACACATTTTTTATTAATTTCACTGTTTTATACTCACCCACTTATTACTCATCAAATAAACATTAGGCACCTATTAAGTAATGCATTATGCAATGAGAATAGATAAGGAAAATTCCAACCCTATGAGTCTTTGACTTCTCCATAGTTGAAGTAAATTTTGTATTTTACATTCAAGATTATTAGGCATTAGCTATTTCAGAGGTTAAGGAGTCAATTCAGACTTACTTCTGCCATATTAACTGGATCTAAGTCTTTAATTACTATACCTTTCTGAGTTCATTTGCTCACCTGTCAAATGTAACAAACAACCATGTTGCACTTTCTCAAAGTGAGGATGGAATAAAATAACTTATGTGAGAACAGCTTGCAATCCCCAAAGAATGAGAAAATACTCATTCAGTGTATTATTGATAACATTCTCTTTTTCTATATAATTTTTATAACTGATATTTTAAAAAAGACTATGGCCTATAAGCACCTATTACTGAAAACCCAATGAAGTCTACTACTTCTCCTACTTCACTCAGAAAATGGGTGCCATTGTAGTTTTAATTATATTTTAAAGATGCTTGTATATTTAAATTGTTCTAATCTGTAGTCCTGAGGATACTCCTCAGAAGTTGATTGGGAAGCAGGATATAATACTGGAGAGGAAGCCGTACTAGGGATCTTATACGTCTACTTTCAATCTCTCTCTTTTCTTTCTTTTTTTTTTTTCTCAAAGACTCATTGCTTGGATGAAACATTCTTCAAGGAAAGGGATACCTACCATACACATTACTGTGATGATGTAAAATTACTGGTGAATTATAGAACACTGCAAACAGCTTGTCCACCGTGACTAGAATACCATAGTTGTAGAAGGTCGTAGTGCTGGGTTTGCTTTTCAGTTTTTAACCCATCATTTCTGCTTTCAAGAAACCTTGGATGCCTCTTCTTTAGGTTGATTTAGGACTCTTACAATTCAAATATCTGTTTCCTCCATTTACAGAGATGCTTACTATTTTCTAGTCAGGCAGAATTCAAGGTGTGACTTGGGGCATCTCGGGGGATGCTTCCCCAACTTTCAAGCGGCTAACTCCTCTCTTTCCTTTGGTCCCCATTCTCCTTCCTGTAACCTTTCATCTCATCTTCAGAACTTTATTACTTCTAAGTACTTTTTTTCCTCACCGCATTTTGAACTCCCTGAAAATAGCAACAGCCATTAATCTCTTTATTCCTAAAGAATCTCACAGTGAATGGGTGAAAAGAGAGATTAATGCAAATAGTAATGAAAGGAAAGCAGAGGTGGCTGTAGTTACATCAGATAAAATAGGTTTTCAGTCTAGGCTTTTGTTTCTGAGATCAAAGAAGGTCATTCTATAATGATAAAAGAGTTCATTGAACCAGAAGATACAACAATTATAAATATGTTTGCACTCGACAGCAGACTACCTAAAACAAATACTGACTGATCTGAAGACAGAAATTTATGGCAATACTGTAAAAGTGGGACACTCCAGTATCTCACTTTCAATAAGAGATGCAAATACCAGCAAAAACTATCAATTAAGAAACAGCAGACTTGAACAAAACTGTAGACCAAATGAGCCTGGTAGATACTCAAAAGATTTTCTGCCCATCAACATCAGATGACAATTCTCAAACTCACAGGGAACATTCTCTAATATAGGTTGCCTGCTATTTCACATAACAAACCTCTTTACGTTGAAGAAGATCAAAGTCATATCTCATTCAGCCACAATGGAATGAAACTACAAAGAAGAAAATTAGAAAATTCACAAATATGTAGAAATTAAACAATTCACTATCAAATAGCAATTGAATCAAAGAGTGTTAAAAGTGTTCTTAATTTGGTTTACCATTGAAAAAAACTAATTTTCTTCTTCTTTTCCTATTGCTTTTGTATTCTCTATTAGATTTGTTTCTTCTCCAAGCTTTATTATTTCCTTTCTTCTGTTAAAAAGAAAACAAGTGGCGGGGGTGGGGGGGAGCTTGGTTTGTTATTTTGCTCATTCTTTAGGAATAGATTTTCATTGTTTACCTGAGCTCTTTCTTTTGTATTAATTCAGGTATTCATGACCATTAACTTCCCTCCTGATACTGTTTTGCTAACTATAGGCCAGTTTTTTTTTAATTGTTTCATTCAAGTAGCACCTTTTCAGTTCCAGAACAATAAGTTGGAGACAGATATTATTTTTCTGTAAACATTCAAGCTAAATAAAAAAAAAAAAACAGAGATGATAACAGACCAACTGTAAGGTCTTCTACTCAAACAGATACCTTTCAGACACATGAAGGAAGTCCCATCTATTTGGCCAATGACAACAATTTCATCTGCAGATGAATCTTTCAGTTATAGAGATTTCTACTCTAATCACAATGCAGATGCCGTTAAAGAAACTGATGTAAGAATGAAGACTTTCTAAAAATTGTAGCTGTATTTCCCATCCTGATCAATAAAGAAATAGAAACATAAAAGTCTTCTTATTTATTTAAATATCTCCAAGTTGTTGGTATAAACCTCATTAAATTTGACAAATATTTTTCTGAATGTCTACTGAGGGCTAACAGATATTCCTGGCAATTGAAGGTAAAAGGAGTTGAATGATTCTGTTTCCCCCAAACCTTGAAGTCTCACTGTTAAAATAAGGCAACGACACTATTTAAGTCGTCTTCTACTTTTAGACTGGATTCCCCTGGAATATTGACTGACAACTTTGTTCTTTTATTTTAAACACTCCCTGTCAGCTGGCTCCTCATTCTTGGACTACAAACTATCATGCATGTCTCTTAAGATGTCCTTTAGCGTTCCTTTCTCCGTGTTACCTTTCCATCTGTTCCCTTCCCTTTGCACACAAACTCCTGCACCAAACCATTGTCTTCACTTCCTGAATTCCCCTGCAGTTTTCACTCCTTCTCACTGCTGGGCGTGGTGCTGCCGGTGCTTTCTTGATTGATTCCTTCATCTTTTCTAATTCTCCTCCTGTCTCTGACATAGTTTGGAGGCTCCTTTGCCGGGTCCTTCTTTTTCTATTTTTTTTTTTAATTTTTGCAGCTTTCTATAGACCTGTCTTGGCATTTTTCCCCCACCCCCAGGCTCCTGACTCACTCTTCTACTACAGTTTGAAATTCAGACAAATGCTGGTTCCTAAATCTGTGTTCTCAGCCCACATACCTTGAGCTCCAGATCTCACTACTGAGCTGCCTAAGAGGTGACACCACCTGCTTGCTTCCTAGAACTTCAGCTCTGCTCTTCCTCCGACCTGCTCTTCCTTCTGCACTGCCTGTCTCTGGGGAAGGCCACCAAGAACAAATCAGGTACCTCCACAGAGATTCAGTCCTCTTCCTGGTCCACTTTCCCTCTCTTACACTCTCGACTACAGTTGATCTATTTGTTCCCTGGCCCTGTAGATTCTAGGCGAAAGCTCCTGTATTTGGTCAGACCATCTCTTATCTCTTGTCTCACTGTTATAACAATCTTCTGACTGGTTCACTGCCCATCCCCTGCATGTATGTGCACACATGCACACAGAAGCATGTGCACACATGCATATGTGCACGAGCGCACACACACACACACACACACACACACATTTTGCTCTCCCTCTAATCTGTTTGGCATTCTTTGACTTTTTCATCAGTAATCAGATCACTCTTTGGTTATTCCATTCGGCTGTCTCATTGTGAACCCCTAAAACACAAGTTCTTGAGCTTGACATTCTAGGTCGCTCTTTCTCGCCTCCTGGTTTCCATCAGTCCTCATCCAGTTTTTTTGTGGTTTCTGATCTGATCACACAGAGACATTTCTCCTTCCATGCTTTTGCTAATGCTGAAATATTCTAGAAATATTCTGTTCCTGATCCCATAACTACCAGTGTTCAGACTTAACTTTTAAGACACCTCATTCACCTAATATGCCACTCTTTTTGCATAACATTCCAAGATCTCATACTACCATGGGTGGAACTGACCTTGTTCTTCTCCCATACTCTGTGAATCTCTCAGTGCACCTATAATAGTGATTGAACGAATGTGTTTGTGCTTTTCTCTTCTCTTGGGCAATTTGCCCTTTATCTAGCTAAGCATGGTGCTGAGGACATAAAAGAAAGTGTGCAATAAAAGTTGTATGTTTTTGGTCAATAGACAAATGAATGAAATTTACTAAACAGGATTTAGTAGAAATTACTGGAGTAGGATTAAAAATGCCTCATGTTTCAGAGACAAGAGAGGAAATAGAATTTTTGGCATCATGAAAGATTTTGTGAAGAAAATGCAGTTGCTTAAGGTCAATAGAAGATTTAGGAAACTATGAGAGCCACATGGGATCCAGTTTGGCATAGTATCTTTCATTTCCAATATCTTCACATTAATACATTATGAAGAAAAAGTCTTCTGTGCCATTTGGCATTTCTAGATTTTTTTTTTCCAATCA